GCTCTACTTTCAAATGACAGCTAGAATTGCACCATTCCTCACCTCAACTACCAGCCCCTGTCTAAGCCATTGGGGTTGTTGGCATTATCTTACCTGTGTCCCTGTTATGTGTCCCTGCTTTCATCACTGCTCCCCATTTAGGTTACTCAACTCAACAGGCAAAGCAGTTCTGCTGAAACATGCAAAGTCGCTCACTGCTTTGCTCAAAACTCACCAAGCTCCCATGCCACACAGAGTGACTATACAAGTCCAGGCTTTGCAGTCCTCACTGGGCCTGGTCCCTTGTTCCCACTCTGGCTCCTTATTCTCCCCACTCCTTGTTCACTCCACATGGCCACAGGCCCCGCCAGCACCTACATTCTCTACCTCAGTGCCTTTTTATTGCTACCTGACATGGTCTTCCCCAAGATACCCACTGGGCTTATTCCTTCTCAATTTCTACTTAAATGCCCCTCCCCCCTTTCTGAGTGTTCTTCCCTACCACTCTGTTTAAAATTGCAGCCTCTATGAACTTCTGTTTTCTGTCTTCTTTGCATTTTCCCTCTCCCTAGCATTTATCACTATCCAATATATTTCATTTATTTTCTATTTTCCTCCATCTAAATGCAAGCTCCATAAAGCTAGGGATGAGCCCAAAGACTGGTGTGAGGGGGAATGCTGTGATGTGCCTCTTGGGGTGCTGAGCCCAAGGCTGCTGAGCCTTGGCCATCTGTGATGCCAGTTGCAGCAAAGATTTCTACTGGCTTGACTCGGGGGGGAAGCACTTGAGCCTTTCCCCCCAGGAGGAGCCAAACAGGCCTGGGGCAGTTACTGTACCAGTGGTAACCTTGGCTGAGGAGAGGTAGAGGTCCCTTTTCCAATTTTTCAATACATGGTAAAAATGAAAGAGGAGGATGGAAGGAGATGGGAGAGAGAAAGGAAGAGAGAAGAGGGCAGAGGAATGGAACAGAACGGAATGGAACGGAATGGGAGGAATGGAGGAGTGGGAGAGGGGAGAGGCAGAGAGAGAGAGAAAGAAGGAATTTGGGGGAAAGAGAAACCTTATAAAGATTGAACTTACCAGAACTAGATGGAAAGGGACTTGGAACTGAATTATGAAAAAATCATTATGTGGCATTTTCTATATACCTAAGTTTATGAAAAATAATCCATACTCATTACAACAGTTCTTATTACTTGAATATTGAAAATGAACCAACAGAACAAAACAACTACTCCAGGCATTCCAAGAAAATAGACTCTAAGAATGGCAATATAAGAGGGGGGCCTCTCTTCTTCCTAAACTCCTGAGTAGGCACACCATGTTTGATTGCCACTTCTTTCAGAACCTCGCCCACCACTGTATATACATTCTGATGTACTCCTGTGTTCTCCCTCCGGGTGGAAGAAATGTTGCTAATGAGGCAAGGTTCAGCACAGATCTGTTTGATGACCGGAAAAGCTGACTCTTCAGTTCTCACCCCCCCCCCAACTCCCCACACCCCATCTGAGCAAAGGCACCTGCTTTTCCCACCCTGCTTCACTCCAGCAGGAATTGCTCAGAGAAGCTTCTGTGTGGACCCAGAGATACCGAGGCTCATTAGCCAACAAGAACTGTTGATTCCTCTGCCTGAGATTTAGGACTTTAGCGTCTCCCTGTGAGGCTGTGGCACATGGAATGACATGCAGCCTTGGCAATCTGGCCTCGCAGAACAGGGACAGCCTGTTCAGAGAGGAGAAGAGCTGCTTGTCTGTTTCAGTGACGATGATGCCAGTTAAGGGGGGAACAATCCACTCTTTGCTTATTTGGCCAGTATCATGGCATAAAGTTTCTATTTTCCCCCAGGGATTAGTAACTTAGTTGAGTGTTTAAGGTAAACGTTTTTATCGTCTCAAAATCTATGACCTCTTGGAAGCATTATTTTTTTGTCATTTTTCACGCCTATGCGAATTATACATCCATTAAATGACTTGAAGTGATCCAAAAAATCATTTTGAAGGAAGTTGCTGGGGAGGGGCCTTTGATAAATTCCCTGAGGTCTTGCCCATCTCAAGCAAAACTGAGACTCAGCCTGCCTTCTGAAAGCCCCTTAGAGAATGAGACACCTTATCTTCTCTAAATATATCCCACTGTAAAGTTGTTAATTATGGCAGAACAGTACTCAGTCAGCACAAGTTTTTCCACTTATTTTACATTGGTTTAACTTTCTAAAGTTAGCTGTGCATGTCTACCAAATGGGTTGATCCTAATCTGGGATGAAAAGCAGCCAGGGACAATTATCACTTGAAATATGTGGGGGAAAATCAAGTTATTTCTTTTTCTTTTTTTTTTTTTGCATAAATGGAAACGAAGTCATTATGGCATTGGCGGCTATTATATATACCCTTAGATGCACTAAATTCACAAAATGAAAATGGCTTAACAATAATCCGGATTCATCAGGAAGCAGTCAGATTTCCCAGAGCAGACACTTTGCTACCCAGGAGAAAGGCTGTATGCACAGCAGTCTTTGCTTGTACGTGTTCCTGTCCATTTCTCCTCTGAGTCTATGTATTACTGTTTTAATACATGCTCTTCCTTTATCATTTTAATACCTAAAGTTTGATTACATTTTTTTATGCCAAGCTGAAAGCCAGCACTAAAAATAAGGCCAGAAGAACAAATAGCAATGTTGAGCACACAAATTTATTGAGTCCCTACTTAGCGCACCCAGCTCTGTGTTAGCTCAGCAGAATGTCACACATGAAGAAGCCTTGGCTCTGCTCACATGGAGCTCACAATCTACACATGATGGGGGGCAGAGCAGGCAGGTATCTGGGTAACCACTCTGCCCGGAGGAGCAGTGCTGTGCTGGAGACTTACAGAGAGCTGTGGGAACGGCAGGGTGGGGCGACCAGCTGAGCCTAGGAGACCATGGGGTGGGAAGGCAGGCAGGTTTGATAAGATTTCATAGAACAGAAGATTTTCCATGTGTGGCATAGAGGGAGTATGGGTTTCGCCAATAAGATTTGGGAACAGAGGATTTTCAGCAAATATAAAAATGGGATTCAAAAACATTTTACCAGGTGTGTCATTTAAGGAAATCTATAAGAAGCTTGGAATGGGGAGAACCTTTGTATGCTTTATGAAAGAAGAAGCTAGCAAAATGAGCAAATCTGAGGGCCTTTCAATTAGTAGTGAAAGAAATAGATTGGTTCCCATCAAGAAGGTGTATGTTACTGTGTTAGGAATCTGTTGGATCTGACCCAGGGCAATGGGTGTTGCTGACTTTGATAGCACAATGCCAATCAGACATTTGCAATCTCAAGCTTTGTAACCTGCAAGGAGGTATCACAATTCCTCCTTGAATGTACAAACATAAGAGATCTTTTCATAAGGGTGAACAGTTGCTCTGTTCAGATGCATTTGTTTACAGGAACTGTGCCAGATCCTCAACAAATAATCCCAACACCAAAAAGGTGCTTTCTTAAACAATGGGCAGCTGCTAGATTGAATTGCAAAAGTTAACCAGATAAAGAAGAGAAACACTAAGGAATAGTTGTCACTAAAATTTGTTCTACTCCCCAGCATTACTGCTTTGACTCCATTTTTGTTGTGACTTAGATAAGTGACTTCTCCTTAACAGTTGTGAATATAGCAACACACCCATCTTGTGTCAAGACATTTTATAAGATGAAGAGAGGGGAGATGTTGAGACTGTATTGTCTTCTTCACACAACCTAGTCTTTCGAGGATAAGTTATTTAAAAAGCAGGGATATTCTGACTAACAGTTGAGAACATCTGAAAAATGGCAAATCATCATAGCCTGAAATTAATTGATGGTGAAATTGGTATTTGTATTTTAGATATTTTACTTGACCAGTTGTTTCTGTAGATCATGTGTCTACAGGCAGCAGAAAGTATGAATGACTAGACAGAATGGGTTAGAGCATCCACAGACAGTGATAAGAAGTTTCTGAACTTCCCTTGGGCAAGTCAGGTACATCAATGTCCTTTTCCAGTCACATTATTTGAGCCAGAATTGAGCCTAGGAGAGTACAACATCACTGCTTCCTACTTCCAGGTTCTCTGGATGAAGTTCTGCTATGACCTTTAGTTTGTAGACTTTTTTTTTTAACATCTCATGGGACAGTTATGATGGAAAAGTTCATGTCATGGTTACCCCAATGCATTTAGTGATGGTGCAATGATCAAAAAAAGATGCCAGTGATGACAATTGAACGTCCCTTTGCCTTCCCAGCCTCCTTCATATATTCTCAGGCATAGGATGACAAAGGGAAGTCCACGAGTCACATGAAGCAAGACTGTAGCGATGGATACACGTTCAGGAGCTCCTGCGTGCCTCCACCCCTCTGCTCTAGCACCCTGCGCTACTTCCTGGTCATGTTGTTGGTGTGATGCCTTGACTCTCTTGCCCCAAACCACCTGCCCAAAGTTCAGCTGATGAGGAATGCCAGTTGAGACAGCACTCAACCCTCTATCTGGCATATAGCTCAGGTTCAAATAGTTGTTGACTGAAATAATGACTCCCCAAACCCTCCAGATTACAAAATTCTAGGGGGGGTCCTCTTCATAAAAAAAATATTGCTTCCTTATGTGGGGTGGAATGAGCAAGACTTTGGGAAATGCAGCAATCTAGATTTGCACATCTGCATCATTGATTTCAGCCAAGGGCTTAATATGACTCCAGATACTAGTTCATCAGCTATCAAGGAAGATAGTAGTTCTACCTTCATGAAGTTTTGTAAGTATCAACAAAAATAATATACATTAAAAGACCTAGCATAGTGCCTTGAATATACTAGGTTCTCAGTAAATGCCCTTTCTTAAGGTACTTTAGCATGATAAAAAACAGCGAGTAACTAATTTCTGTAGTTAGAGGCCTCAGAAGAGAGAGAGAGAGAAACAGCAGTCATAGGGAGTGATGTTAGGCATTTTAAAGGAGATGAATGTTTCTATGGTTAATTTTCTTGGCTGCAGTTTAAGAGGAAATTTATGTCGTCCATTAATTATACTTACCAATTGGGTCTAATTGGCAACTACCCCAAAATGAATAAAACAAGCGGGAGTCAAGAGAGAAAAACGGCAGGCATCCTGTCAAAAAATAAAATCTTTGAAATTTCTACAACCCAATGGTCGGATACACATTTTCTTAAAGCAGACTGATCACCCACTTTACAGAAATTTACATGTGTGATGGCGAGGCCACATCAGACATAGGCAGAACTCAGGCAGCACCCCTGGATTAATGGTCTTCCCACCACTCATTCAACAGAGCCTTAAAATCACTCTTCTTTGCAGAAGACTTGTCCTGCCTTGTGCTTACTCAGCCTAGATCACATCTGTGGTGGTGACAAGGCATCTCAAGTGCTTGTAGCAAAGCTTAGCACTTAGTAATAAAGAAGTCGTATATAATTATAATAATAATTATGAATCTTTGAAGCTATGTCTCCCAAGACAACCAGACTGGAATCTCTTCTCCCTCCTTTTTAAAACATTTTTTTCTGACTTCTGCAGCTTTGTGTCCTATCATCAGCTTATTGTTGACCTAAAAGAAGTACTTCATGTCTTTGGTTTTTAGAGAAGAGTTGAAACCAGTGTTAATTTACTATTCAGTGGCCTAGAAAATTAGAAAGTTAATTTATCTGTATCTGTTATATGTGTACCACATAGCATGTACATACATATCTTCAAAATTAAGCCACTAAGCTCACTCATTACAATAAGTTTCCTCTCAGTTTAGCTGTTCTATCCCAAATGGGGAGATAAATGTAACGGTAATAACATTTTTCTAGAGTTAACTTACTATACACTGAGCTGACGACTCAGGCAGTATCTCATTTCAAATCAAGGACCCAGAGGAGAATCCCCTGAGCACCAGCAGCTCTGCTTCGGCCCGAGTTTTACTCCTTTAGAAACAGCAGTTATGGGAGACCTCATGCCTTTGAGTTAGGCTCTGGTCCTACTTGTGAGGATCAAGCCAGTCTTCTAGGATAGTCTCAATGTATGGCTGTTATTAGGGGCCAGTGGTTGGGTAGGTTGTAGGTGGTGATTGCTTGGTGAGAGTCAGAGGAGATCTCACTCCCTTTCCATGGAACACAAGTACCTGGTAATTCCTCAATGCACAGGGCCTGGCAGAATCGCCTTTTTATGAGGCTACTCATTGAGGAAAATGCAAAGTGTTATATCTCAAAGCACAGAACATAAGGTTGGTGCCTCTCTGGATTCTCAATAGTTTGGAACAAGCCAAGAGCAGCTACTGTATATTTTCCAGAAAGGTTATAAATTAGCATGTTCCTGAGAATATAAATGTAGCTCGGGAGTACACGCCTTCCCAGGCCACTCTACCTCTGTGTATAGCAATTATACTTCTTGCTAAATAATCTGAGCCAAGCCTCAAACAGACAAGATGCAATTTAGCACAAGCATTTGTTTATGGAACCAAGCACAAACTTGGCTTAGCTCTGCCTTTCCTGCAGACTGAACAACACACTGGTATTTTCCGCTTATCTCCCCTTTCTCCTATCCCCTCTCCCCAGGTTACACACACTGATGAGCAAATGTTAAAATGGGATTTTTGTAAAGATCATCTGACTTTGTCTTGTTGAATGGTGAAAGATGGAAATGTGTGGCTATCAGGGGTCTGCCTACTGTGACCCCAACTGTTCAGTATTTCCTTATTTACCCTTCAGCATACACTGGAGGAAATGGTTTCAAGAGGGAAAACAGTGATAGAGGGCTAAGGATCTTGCATCTCAATGACTGTGGCTGCCCTGAGTATTCTGCTTTTGTGGCTTGCTCAGGTACATGGAGAGCTTTACTTGATTTCCCTGGTACTGTGCTAAGTGGAGAAAGACAGCTACCTCTCAAAGTAAGGACAAGGCAATGCTGAGAAGAAGCAGCAAGGCTAGGACTTTGCCATTCTGAGTTGAAATAAAGGCTATGTTACTTTTAACTCAATGTATGAATTTAGGCAGGGACTTGACCTTTTCCCTGGGGTTGCCTCTCAGAAAACTGAAGAGAAGTGGGATGAAATATATATAATACGTGGAGATTGCTACATCTATATATTACATATCTCTATATTGTATATCTATCTCTATAGTCACATTTATCATTCTGATTCTCCAGTCTACCTTCTTATCATTATATTAAGAGAAGTCAAGAAAGAAGGGGGAAAACACGAAATATCTTTTTCTTATAATTTGATGATTTTAGTTCCTCAATATGAATCTTACTTTTTATGTAGTCCTTATTTATATTTATAGCTGAAACTTGGCTCCTGCAGATAGGAAAGAACAAGCAACTTAATGAAAGTCACATGAATTAGACTATGTACAATACACCGAATTTCTGTATGCTGAAAGCTTTTCATGGGTGTTGCTTGTAACACCACTCCCTTACTTAAAATACTTGTGTGTTATGTACTCCTGTGAACAAACAGCCCATCTGTGAACAAACAACCCATCCAGAAAGACTCTATCTGAATTCATGTTGCACTTAACATCCTACAAGGGCTTTTAGCTGCTTTTTGTTTTGTGAGAGATGGTAAAGAACAGTGGTTGAGTCAGGCACACAGGAGACTTCTTGGTCAGCTGCCCACTTGTGGTCTGACCTTGGAGCTACCATGGGGTCTTTCTGTGCCTCAAATTGTTTTTATGGTCAATGAGAAAAGAATTAGTACCCCCTAAGAGAATGGTGATGATTAAACCTGTCATTTCTTGTCAAGTGTTTAGTATTCAATAAACACTGGTATTGTTAACTGATTTGTAAAACTCCAGATTCTTCAAGTACACATCTATGCCTTTTTTGCAACCACTAGAGTGCTTTGTATATTGACACACAGACATACTGGTAGAGTAACAGAAGATCTGTTAAGGACAAATAGAACAGAGGGCAATTACTATGAAATGAGGTTTCTAAATTACTATTAAATGAAAATTTTTCTTACTATTAAATGAGATTTTTACCACCTTTTGAAAAGTTGAAGAATTTTTGACATGTGCTTTGGCTCCATACAAAGCATCTTAAAATTACAGTCAAGAATACAGAGGTGACCCTTCGGTCTTCTCCTTCCTCCTCTGACTACTTCCTCCATTTATTATAAGTTATATTTGCTCATTATGAAAAACAACATTGAGAAGTTTTTAAATGGCATAAATGAAAAGTGCCAGTTCTCCTTTGATCTCTCCCACCTCAATTTTCATTCACTATAACTAGTAATTGCTCACCTGTGCTCTTTCTATTTATATGTATAATTAAAAAAGTTATAGATGTATCATAAACATTTATACATCAGGTTTTTTTTTTTTAAAGATTTATTTATTCATACAGAACTGGGGTACAGGCCAGAGATGCGGAGGGTGAGAGGCTTCACCAGAGACAAAGCGGGGAGCGCGGGGAGCAGAACAGGCAAAGCAAAGAAGTACACCGCTGAGGGGAGCAGCGGGCAGGTCAGGAGAGGTCTGCCAGCCATGTGGCTCTTTTCCGGGGCAGGCGGGGATCGAACTCATGCGAAAGTGGCTTAAGCTTCTTAGTGCTGTGCTTTAACCCGCTGCGCCACCAGGGAGGGCCAGGTTTTTTAACTTAAGAAAAAAATTACTGTTGGGCCTCTTCCCTTAGGAGCTCAAACAGATCTATTGTATTATTAATAATAATTTCAGAACATTTCACTGTATGTCAACATATAATTGGTCACTTATTGGTGAATCTTGATTGTTTCCATTTTTATCACTGTCAAAAATATTATAATAAAATGTATAGAATAAATTTGTAGAAGTGAAATTACAGGGTCAAATGATATACAAATTTAAAATTTATAGGAGCAGGAAAATTGTCTTTTAAATAAGATTGTTATATTTACATACCCACCAAAAATGTATATTCCATATACACTTATTGATATTGGTTGTTTTGTGACTTTGGTTTTTGTCAATTTTATAATTAAACATTTCATTGTCTTAATTTTCATTTATTTAGTTATGAGGGAAGTTAAACATCTGTACTCCCTTCCTCTCCCCATAACTTTTCTGATTATAGTCTGTCCATTTTCTTATATGGTTTTTGATTTTTTTTAATTTTTGGATGCCCTTTCTTATGCTGGAAATTAGCTCTTTTATATGGTTGTAAATATTTTCTTTGCTTGCTACTTGTTTTTTGAATTTGTAGTATTTCTAATGGGATTTCTAGATACTAATCAATTTTCTCCAGAAACATAGCTTGTAAGTTTGATTGGAAAAGTCACAGTAGTTTTGAATTTGGTTTTATAAAATGGTGAAGGTTTTACTATGTAAGACAGGAATAGCACAAAGAAGTTATTCTTTATGTAGTGTATCCAGAGAGTAAAGGCAGGTTTTTTTTGTTTGTTTGTTTTTTTCCAAAGTGCTTACCTGTGGTTTCATTACATTTGCAAGGCAATAGACCCTCTTAGGTTTTACTCATTGACCAAGATAGAAGGAAACTGTTTGTAGTTCTACTTTTTTAGGTTTAGTTGAATAACACAAGCTTAAATCTAAAGAAAACTAATGAGGGCTAGATCAAAAACGATGAGTTCTCTTGATCTTTAAAACAAGGTGATCCAATAAACCATTTATTAAGAGAAGCTCTACTAGTTAATCTTTTAATAACTGTCAGTATCAGCAAACACTATCAAGACTATATCTACTGACATTCTGAAGGTTCTAGAGCCCTTTCACTCTGGCCAAATGAGCAGCTAATACATAGCAGTTATTAAAATGTAGGAATGTCACATTGACTTGGCATAAGGAAGCGTTAAATTCCTCACAAACCTTTGCGCATCAGGTGTCTTCAAACATGTCCCCCATAGGGCCAACAACTGGCTGCTCTTAATTCCTAAGACAGAGACTTCTTGCCTTTGTTCCAAAGAGCCAAGGCCCAGGATGGATTTACAAGTCTAGTCAATGTTCATTTTGCTGCCTGTTATCAAGAGTAGACATATGTAGATCATGAAAATTATTTTCCAGGATTTGTCTTTGAAAAATTAAGAATAGTTTCATAGAAAAACAGAATCTGGTTTACTTATCTTTATTATTTAGGGTTTTAATTGCTACCAAATAATGTTTTAAAAAAATGAT